CAAGTGAGCTGGTAGGTAAAGCAATACAACTCAAAATATCGAAAATTATTCAGAGTATGAAAGGAAGAAATCTAAAAAGTGAAGGCACTCTAAGACATCTCAGACAACAGTAAGAAGATGTGGTATAATGTACACAATGGAATGTCTCCTCTTTATTAGCATTATAGGGGTGCCAGAGGAAGAAAGGGCCAGAGAAAAGTATTAGAGGAAATAATGACCAAAAACTTCTACAAAGAAGGCAGGATTTCAGAGACCTCCAAATAAAAGAAACCTGAGACCTCCATCTAGACATAATTAAAATGGTAAATATTAATGATAAAGAGAGGATTTTAAACACTGAAGGAAAAAAAAACAGTGTATCACAAAATAAGGGAAACCCCATAAAGCTACCAATAGATTTCTGAACAGAAACTTTATAGGCCACAACAAAATGGGATGACAAAATCAAATGCTGAAAGGAAGAAAGTTTGAACCAAAAATTCTACAGCTGGTGTCAAGACTATAATTAGTTTTGAAGACGAAATCAAGAACTTTCTTAGACAAGCTAAAGGAATTCAACCCAAAAATAACACTCAAGAAAATATTAAAGGGGCTTCCCTAAATTGAAAAGACAATAAATTAAAACATGAGAAAAATGTTTTTGGTGGGAAATATAAATTCATAGTAAAAGTAGTAGAACAATAATTTATAAAACAAGAATGATACTAAAGTAGTAGAACAATAACTTATAAAACAAGAATGATACTAAAGAGACAAGAATACTAAAATGAACTGAAGCTACAATTAAGGAAATAACTGAGCTGCTGAAAGTCATGACACATTTTTGCTTGAAAAACTTTCAAAAATATATTATGACTTTTTCAACAACCCAATTTATAGAATAAAAAAAGAAAGTGGGACATTAGGGCTCTCCCTGGTGGCACAACAGGTTAAAGCCAGCACTGCAAGCCCCCCCACAGCCTCTTCAGTGCAAGTTCGATCCCTAGCCCCGGAGGTGACACACATGGCACAACAGAATTCTCCTGACCTGCCCACTGCTCCCCTCAGCAGTGTACATTGTCTGTCTGCTGTATGTTCTGCTCCCCACTCTACCTCAGTGAATCCTCTCACCACCCCTGCACCTCTGGCCTGTACCCCAGTTCTGTATGCATAAATAAATAAATCTTAAAAAAGTGAGGCCCTCCCTGGTGGTGCAGCAGGTTAAAGCGCAGCACTAAGAAGCTAAAGCCACTTCCGCATGAGTTCGATCCCCTCCTGCCCCGGAGGAGATCCACATGGCGAGGCAGACCTCTCCTGACCCGCCCGCTGCTCCCCTTAGCAGTGTACTTCGTTGATCTGCCTGTTCTGCTCCCCACTCTGTCTCTGGTGAATCCTCTCACCCTCCACATCTCTGGCCTGTACCCCAGCTCTATATGAATAAATAAACCTAAAAAAAAAAAAAAGGGAGAGAGACATTAATATAAAAAATTAGGAGGGAATAAAAATTTGGATTAGCTATGTGTTCAGATGTAAGTAAAAATCGTCTCAAAAAGGAACAATATATACATCAAATGTTACAGCTGAACCTTACAATAACCATAAAGCAAAAATGTATGGTAAAAACAACATTGAAGAGAAGTAAAACAGTCTTTATGTGCAGGCAATATTAATTTACCTGGAAAACCCTAAAAACTCCATAGAGAAACTAATCAAAACAATCAACCAGTTTAGTAAGGTAGCAGAATATAAAATCAACACACAAAAAAGTCAGAGGCCTTCCCATACATGAATAACCAATCAGAAGAAGCAGAAATAAAAAAATAAAATCCCCTTTTCAATTCAAACAAAAAGAATTAAATACGTGGGAATCAACGTAACAAAAGAGGCAAAAGACCTATTCAAAAAGAACTACAAAATACTGTTAAAAGAAATTCAAGAAGACACCAAAAATGGAAAGACATCTTCTGCTCATGGATTAGGAAAATTAACATCATCAAAATGGCCATCCTATCAAAAGCAATATACAGATTTAACACTGTCCCACTAAAAGTCTCAATGACATTCTTCAAATAGAACAAATATTGATGAGATTCATATGGAACAACAGAAGACCTCGAATAGCCAAAACTTTCAAGAGAGAATGGAGGCATCACAATCCTAAATTTAAAGGTATCCTACAAAGCCATAATAATCAAAACTGCATGGTACTGGAACAAGAGCAGATACACAGACCAGTGGATTCAAATACAAAATCCAGATATAAATCCAAAGGTTTATGTGCAACTAAGACAAAGGAGCAAAGAAGATACAATGGAACAAAGAAAGTTTGTTCAACAAATGGTGTTGGGAAAACTGGGAAGCTACATGCAAAAAAATGAAATTAGATCACTACCTCGCACCATGCACAAAAACCAACTGAAAGTGAATTAAAGACCTAGATATAAGACCTGAAACCATAAAATACCTGGAAGCGAAGATGGGCAAAACACTACATGACATACACTTCAGTAAAATCTTTAAAGATACAGCACCCAGTACAATGATAGTGAAGGGAAGGATAAACAGATGGGACTACCTCAAGTTAAAGAGCTTCTGTATAGTAAAAGAGAAATTACAGAAAACAAACACAGACATCCCACTAATTGGGAAAAGTTTTTTCGCACACAAACTAGCAATAAAGGATTGATCACAAAGATATACAAAGAACTGATGAAACTCAACAAAAATAACTACATCAAAAAATGGGCAGAAGAGCTAAAAAGACACCTCTGCAAAGAGGAAATGCAGATGGCCAACAAGCATATGAAAAAATGTTCAACATCACTTGTAATAAGGGAGACACAAATTAAAACCACCCCAGTGAGAATGGCACATCTTCAAACAATGAACAACAACAAATGTTGGTGAGGATGTGGAGAAAAAGGAACTCTTCTGCACTGCTGGTGGGAATGCAAACTAGTACACCCACTAGGGAAAACTCTATGGAGGATTCTCAAACTGCTAAAAATGGAGTTTCCATAGGACCCAGCAATCCCACTCCTAGGTATCTACCCAAAGACACAAAAACACTGATTCAAAAAGACACCTGTACCCCCATGTTTATTGCTGCTTTATTTACAATAGGAAAGACATGGAATCAACCCAAATGCCTAAAAGTCGATGACTGGATTAAAAAGATGTGATACATATACATAATGGAATATTACTCAGCAATCAAAAAAGATAAACTCATGCCTTTTGCAGCAATGTGGATGGAGCTAGAAGGGATCATGCTTAGTGAAAATAACCCAGAAAGAAAAGGAAAAATACTGGATGGTTTCACTCATAGCAGAAGCATAAAGGACCAGCAGGGGAAAATGATAATAATGAACAACTGTAAACCATAGACATTTTATGGGGGTGGAGTTGGGAATGGGATAAAAAATGGGGTGTGTGTGAAGTGCACTGGATTATGGTGATGGCACACGGGTGATTCGGTGATGGGAAGTCCATGGGGATTACAACTGAGGTGGGAAAAGGCACAAAATGATGTAAAAATAAATTATTGTAATTAACAACAACACTGAAGAAAACTATCATATTTCAAGAGAACAGAAAACAGAAAGAAAGGAACAGAAAAGAACTATAAAAGCAAGAACGATATATGGTATTACTGCCATATATGCTATCTTAGTAGGAAGGGCAGGGTATAGGACAAGTAAATTTCTGTAAAAATTACTATGAATTAACCTCCTACTGTGTTTTCCTAAATGGCAAGAGGAATGGAGATGGAGGACATTTATATTCCCATCATGTAACAACATAATTCCTATTAACATGGTTTAGTTTCTCATTTAGTTAAAAGGGACTTTCCATAACATAAAAATTGTGTGTACCTCAGAGTTGTGGTAAGAATTTAATGTGTTAATATTTGTAACTTAAGTTAGAGCTTGATCTATAGAAAGCATTCATTAAAAAGCTATTATTGTTTTTAGAATGCATGTAAATATCCTTTACAAGTAACAAGACAGAGTGATAGTTCATCTATAGTTATATTTGTTACCCATTAGAAATGGTGCTTTGAAAGTGATCTATAACTCAGTTAGGTTCCACCTATTTGAAACTCTTTGAGTGTTGGGGGGAAAAGAGTGGAATCATCTTTGTGGTATCAAATCAACTTTCTAATCAGATTTAGAGCAACCCTAACAGTATGGCATTAAAGATCTTTTTCTAACTCGGTGATGTTAGAAAGAAGCTTTTAGTGCCTTGTTTCAAACAGTATTACAAAAACAAAGCACAGGGTGGTCTATCACTGGAAAGACTTGTAATATTTTTCAAGCAACTTACAAAGTGGAAATTTTATTAAAATTTCTTTGTTTCATAGGTATTCCACAAAGAAATGAACTGTTATAATTCTGAAGGTTCTTTGTCTAAACTAGGAATTAGGAAATACTAGGAAGAAAAGGATTGGAATATCTAGAGACCAATTTTTCCAGGATTACTCACATTCAGAAAACTGAGTTTGGAAGGACAAGTTTTTAAAATACCAATTTTATATTAAAAAGTTTTAAATAGACCTTCAGGTTCAATTTAAGCTTCTGATTTATCTTCCTTGGAAGGCTATACTATAAATGGCTCTAGTCACTTATAAATTAAAACAAACTACCTATCACATTTAAGATTCCATCTGAAATACTTTGCTATAGGAGAGAATTCTTTTGAGATATGACATGTCTATATATATGCATTACATGAGTTCCTCTGTTGGTTTTTAATTTTAATACCAACACTGAGGATAAACAAATTTCCCCAAAATCTTACAGAAAAGAATGTTCATTTTTTACTTTTTACTAAGTGCTGGTTAATCAGTGAGTATCAATTTTCATATCACACTATTTATGTAGGCTCAATTCTTATTTTTAAAAAGACATTGTCTTTACAAACAATTCAAATTAAGCAACTGTGCCCTACAAACACAACTAGAAATGATACTGAAGGAGTATTGATTAAAACAAAAAAGCACTTTAAAAAACCCAGCTTACCAGCTCCAGAGATGATTGATTCTGCATCAATGTCACCAGCTCTTTTTCTGGCCACTTCAGCTAGTGCCAATTCACCCTTATCTAGCGCAAGGTAATGGATATCCTTTGGAAATAAAGCAAAATAAAAGATTAATCCAAAATGAATCTTGGTCAATTTACAAAGGAGAATTTGAAAGAAAGAAACTTATTGTTCAGATTACAACAGACATGGCTGATATTTTGTGTTTTTATTTTCTCAGTTTTGTTATCCTCAAATTGGAGATCATACAACTAATGGACCTAAATAAATTTTATTCCATCTTTAGAGGAAATTAAGATTTTTAATCAACTGTTTGACATACTCAGCTTTCTTAGAGAATAAAAACACTTTTCTGTAGCGAGATTTTAGTATTTGAGAAGCTTTTGCATAAATCTATTGTATCTTATATTATGCTAAATATTTTAGAAGGAATATGTGACAGATTTGCCTGATATTTATGTGCCAGGCACATATTATTTTATTTATTTATTTATTTATTTTTTTATTAAAAAGTTTATTTTTACATCATTTTTCACATTTTTTTTCATCTCAATTG